TTTGACGAACATCAATTAGGCTATATATATTAAAGTTGGAAATGAAAATTATGTAAGAGGAAAATAAATGTAAAATTTATAAAAATCTTTGAATGAAATCAAGTTAGAAGTTGAATTATAAGAACAATAGACAATTACAATGTATATATATGATACAAAACGACGTAATATGTTCCTCTTACATAATTGTGATTTTCAACAATAATATCTATAGCCTAGTAAGTGTTCGACAAAAAAATGTGATGTAAGAGAAAGATAATAGTGAAAATTTAAAAATATTGAATATAAATCAAGTTAAGGATTGAAGTTTAACAACATTATAATGAATATATCAAACAAAACGAAGTATTATTATAAGTTTGGGTACCTAAGTTTATATACCCTTAAGGTATATTCACTTTTCCATATATATATATATATATATATATATATATATATATATATATATATATATATATATATATATATATATATATATATATATATATATATACTAGCCGTCTACCCGCGCAAAGCGGCGGGGCACGTGAGTTCTTTCGGTGATATGTTTCCATTACAAAATTGTTATGTTAAAAAAAAGTACATGTTGAAGACAATATAATCAAACTATGGTGTTATTTGTTACATCATGCATCAAATAACCAATAAAAAGCAACCAGTCAAGACGACACAAAATATTAATCGTGCAATACTTCTTTATACACCACATTTGCTGTATAAACCCCATCACCTTTTGAATTTTCGTTAGGCTTTACTAATACTTTTGTATTGCAACGTGAAACCCCTCTGGACAATGCAACATAAAGTTGTCCATGCGAGAATACTGGTTCTGGAAGATAGATACCTACATATGGAATTGTTTGTCCCTGAGCTTTATTGATTGTCATTGCAAAGCACAATCGAATAGGAAACTGTTTCCTCATTAGAGGATCGATGGTTGCTACTAATTGCTTGTAACTGGTATTGGTTTCATATCGATGGATGTGGATTCGCATATGAAATCAATTGTGTTCGCATCTATGAAATCAGTTCGCATATGACATCAATTGAGTTCGCATTTGGTTTTGTGGGTCAAAACAGTTCGCATAAGAAGTTCACGATTTGTTTGAGGTTAATTGATTTTGATTTCGCAAGCTTGGAGTCGGAGATCTGGATTGTGTTCGCATCTATAGAATGCGAGGAGAATTTAATGGTGATATTCAGTTCGCATTTGGTGACACAAGTACGTGGTTGATGATTTTTGGTTGGTTCGCATTTGAAATTAGTGGGTTTCGCATTTGGCTTCGTATCTGGGTTTCTCAAACAACTGAAATGCGAATATGAGACAATTGATTAATTTCTCAGTTAATGCGATGAAATGCGAATGAACTCAAAGACGGATGGATGCAAGATGCGAAGAATTTGAATGAAAATGCGAAGTTTTTAATGTATAAATGCGAATTGGGGAAGAAAGCTTAGAGTTTCGCATTTGGCACCTGATCTTTTCAAGAAATAATATAAGTGGTCCAACTTCGCAAAATGGGGTCATTTAATCAGAAAATCGATCATTCTTCAAATATGACATTTAATCAGAAAATCGATCTAAAAATGAGACATTTGGTGTTTATCGATTTTTCAGGGTCGACGGGTTGTATGAAAAGCGAAGGCTGAGTAATTGAAAATTAGAGGATCGATGGTTGTTGCTACTAATTGCTTGTAACTGGTATTGGTTTCATATCGATGGATGTGGATTCGCATATGAAATCAATTGTGTTCGCATCTATGAAATCAGTTCGCATATGACATCAATTGAGTTCGCATTTGGTTTTGTGGGTCAAAACAGTTCGCATAAGAAGTTCACGATTTGTTTGAGGTTAATTGATTTTGATTTCGCAAGCTTGGAGTCGGAGATCTGGATTGTGTTCGCATCTATGGAATGCGAGGAGAATTTAATGGTGATATTCAGTTCGCATTTGGTGACACAAGTACGTGGTTGATGATTTTTGGTTGGTTCGCATTTGAAATCAGTGGGTTTCGCATTTGGGTTCGTATCTGGGTTTCTCAAACAACTGAAATGCGAATATGAGACAACTGATTAATTTCTCAGTTAATGCGATGAAATGCGAATGAACTCAAAGACGGATGGATGCAAGATGCGAAGAATTTGAATGAAAATGCGAAGTTTTTAATGTATAAATGCGAATTGGGGAAGAAAGCTTAGAGTTTCGCATTTGGCACCTGATCTTTTCAAGAAATAATATAAGTGGTCCAACTTCGCAAAATGGGGTCATAAAAAGACAAAAGTGCAGAATTTTCATTTCGCATCCCTGTAGTCTTCGCAAAATGGAAAATTTTACCCAGTTTCGCATTTGGGGTAAATTTTTTTGAGAAATTGGAATATTTTCAAACTTTTTTTCTTAAAAAAAACACATTGTCTTCGTCTAAGAGAGGGAGAAAAACGATTAGGGTTTATAAGGGAAATACTTCATGGCAGTGGGATTTATAGCAGGGTTTATAAGGTGGAGAGAACAAACACACGTCTGCTATGAGATATTTTAATCAGCTGCAAATGCAACATTTAAAGGATATTTGTTGAAGCGTATTAGGATGAAAAGGTTTTAAATTTTGAATGACCATGAAATTAGGATTTTGCTGAGAAATATAAGGAATCAAAACAAATTTAAAATTTAATATTATTTTATTAATGGTTGTTTGTAATATTAGCTTAATCGTTTGTACGTCTTAAAAAAATAATATTATTATATTCAATCTATTTATAGAAATAGTTAGATTTCTTTTATAAGTAGTAAAGATATATATATATATATATATATATATATATATATATATATATATATATATATATATATAATATTTTAAGTCAAACGTTCGAAAATATTAAAATTTAACAACTTACACACAATCATAGGCTTCGAAAATATGATATAATTTATGAATAAAAATATAAAATACATAGGACGATTGATAGTCAATCATTCAATCTTAAGGGGTTAAATTCGTATCTTTCTATAAAATAGGAGTAGCATTTTTAGATTTGATTCTTTTTTACGATTGAAAAAAAAAAAAAAAAAAAAAAAAAAAAAAAAAAAAAAACAGTAGCGAAGATGAGATTAACAGAAGAGTCTTGTCATGATTTCAGAGACAGCAAATGGGGTACAGTAACGCCGGCGGTGGGTACGTCTCATGGGTTCAACTACCTCCATTTTTTCTGCGATAATGATGATAATACAAACTAGAAGATTTTTATATATTGATTGATTTATTTTCATTTTTTTATATCTGTTAGTATATTGATTAATTGTATTTTCATGGGCGGAAAATTGTTTAGTATTACATGCATCCAGAAAAAAAAAAATCCGATCCAATATAATAAAATAAATCGCTCATTTTATGGTTGTGTGTTTCTTTTTGGAAAATGAACTTCCTTAACAAGAGTTTTCAGATTAGTTTTCGCGCACCGATTAATCCTCCACTGCAAACATAAGATTTTGCCTCATGCCTGGAATCACTGCAGACGAACCTCTATAACCAAAGGAATGAAGGACTAAGTAGTACCAAGATTTAAATATGTGTCAATACATTATCAAACATTTTTTACACATGTGTTACCAAATCACCAAAACACAAATGATTACAACTTATCGAAGGAACGACAACAAGAACTATTGTATTTTGGGTTGTATTTACTTTATGTATCTGATCCATATTATATAGTCTGACCTATTGTATTCATGCATGTATTTTGCCTTCATATTTTCTATAAATTAAAGAGGATCATTATGACAAAATATTCAACTACCATGGTATTAGAGTAAAAGATACATAATCATCTCTTAACACATCTATTTTCTTCTTCCCCATCTTCCTTTTCGAGTTGCCTTAGTTGCCTGCCACACCTTCCATCTTTCTTTTCGTCACACCGAAAAACCTCATGGAATTACCGATTACGAACATTAAATTGTATACATATTCCACTTATTATGATGCATAGAAAGAGTTTTATGAAAACCATTGCAACGAGTTTGGTGATGAACAAAAACAATAAAGCCCCAACCACTTCTGACTAATCCAAATGAAATCGAAAAAAATTCCATCGTCAAAATAAATGTAGATCAATGGAACAATTTCTCAGTCTTTCATCCAAAAGATTCTTAATAAAAACGTAACTACTATGCAAGTATAAATAAGCCTGTTGCCCACGTCCGAGTCCACCCAGCTCTCGGTTGGGCCTCAACAGCCCAATCACAACCCACTATTTTATTTATTAGATCAATAATCATGATGCATGTTATATATAAAATCATAAATTGAGAAGTGAATATTAATATAAAACTAAATAGTAATTATAATAATATTAGTTTCATCTTTACAAAACTAAAATTCGATTTTTTAATAAATAAAAGTTTGACAAGGTCTTGGTCTCATATTGAAGCTAATAGTTAGTTCTTTTTAATGGCGTAATCTGTTGGATATAATATTCAGTTCAACATGATCTTAGAAAATATTAACCTAGTTTACAAAGATAATATCATTATTTTCCCTTATTTCTTACAAATTGCCTTATTTAAATGCATACCTTATATAAAATACTATAAATAGTGTATAACTATTCCCGTGCCATATCCGTAAAACAATCCAGTGTAAATATATGGATCCGACAGTTAATACATAATTAATCGAGAAAACTCGATAAGACGTGTGAAAGTGAAATATCCAATTTTAGGGGGTAGGTATTATATAAACGCATAAAATGGGGAAAGTATTGTTTGATTGGCAATTTAAGGGATGTTTTCTGCAATTTTCGAAGTATTGAATACGCAAAGTCGCAAAGTTGACTTCAGAGTCTCCTTATATATTTCACTTCTCCGATTATTCCTTGCAATCGAAAGAAAACAAAAACAAAATCAAAACAATGGCGAAGAGGAATTTGACAGAAGTGTCTTATAATGATTACAAAGACAAAAAAAGGGGTACGATATCGCCGGCGGTGGTTACGTCTCATGGGTTCAACGACTTCTGTTTTTTCCGGCAATGACGACGATGAATACGAACAAGAAGATTGCGATAGTTCAGTGGGGTCTAATCATCCTGTTCTTGATGTCATACTTCTCTCCGACAATGAAGATGACGAGGTTGAATCTTCATCCTCTAAGATTGATGCTTCCAGCCATGAAGATATAACCGGCGATGAAGTACAAGAAACCGAAACGGGAATCACACAATTCCGGTCGCCGGCGTTTGCTGAGAACCAGTGTGGTGAAATCGAATTAACAGAGAAGAAACAGAAAGAAGGTGAAGAAGAAAAAAGAAGAGTGGAATGGGTGGGTGGAATATGGTTTGATGATTGTTGATAATAATGGCTTTCTTCTAGGTGAATACACACGATTGGATGAAGAGCTTTACATCAACATAACTGCAGAATCTTAAATGATTTTGTGTTCGATGTTTGATATGTAAATTTTTGAATATATATGATATATGATGGGATTTTCTGATAGATGCATGCCTCTTGTTTTTTTTTTGAAAAAGCTGTTTGGTAAGTATTTGATCAAAAGGTAGGAGTATTTCGGAGAATGTTTATATTTTGATACTAGAATTTGTTGATGAAATTCAGCATTAGTGGAGTCATCAAAGATACATTGTATTTTAGCATTTTTAATGTCCCAATCGTTAATCCTTTTGGCAAATTAAATATAGACGTGATTTCAATGTTACAAATCATGTTCAACTGATTTACCAATTCAAGAATAAGAGATCATTTGCTCAAAGGCTTTCAGCAATAGTGTTTGTTATTATACCCAAATGATACAAGAGATTATAACCTATAGCTAATTGTAGTTATGGTAAAAACAAAAAACCTCTAATCATGAATAATTATAAGAGGAAATTGCAGGCTATACGATAATACTAAAATGAACACTCATAGTTATTTCATCATTAATAAAAATACTTTCATACATAAATAATAATGTACCGTATATTTGTGAATAATAAAAAAAAAAGAATTTCTATCATTCATGTTAAACTATCGGATTAGCTTGTTTTGAAATTTCTAAAAATATCAACGTATTAATAAAAAAAAGTTATTTTTTTTAAATAAGGTAAGTTGTTAGATATAAACAGTATAATTAACCGTGGCAAGATAAAAACCAAATGCTTAAATTGATTTAGCTTTTGAAATAATCTAAAATAATACGATAAAATCTTAAAGAATTATGATTAGGCATTTAAGTATACATGACATGTGTTTGTCGTCGGTAGGTGACATCCAAGTCATGATTGTGCAATATCATCCAACGGTGTCATTATACTACCACCGTCGTCTCTCATTGTAGTTAGGTTGTTCCGGTATTGATACGCTTGAAGAAGGTGTCACCTTAGTTCACAAATCATTTCACAGCACCATTACAGCCTAAGGGGGCGGTGTTCACATGTAGAGAGAGAGAGGGAGAGAGAGAGAGAGAGAGAGAGAGAGAGAGAAGAAGAAGAAGAAGAAGAAGGGGGATACGGAGAAGAATGAGGGAGAGAGCTTATGTGAAGACCCGTGAAGCCACCCACTCCACAAGATGACTACAAAGAATGAGATGGTGTTCATGCATGAATTGACCCTTCCACGTTCGAATATTCCACGTGTGGAATCACCTTCATATCAGACGACCTTACTATGAAAGACAACGACCAATGGGTTAATGAGAAGGATTGATATATGTAACGACCCAAAAATTAAGGCCAAAAAATTTCATGTTGAATTATAGTAAAAACCATCTTTCAAAATATATCCATAACCATAATAAAATGAAAGTATGATTAACGCATCCAAATACATCAGAGTAAAGTGAAATGCGAAACAATCATGGTGTGTGCGACACGATCTCCCCGAGCTTTTACCGTTAGATCCGGAAGTACCTGAAACATAAACTAAAAACTATAAGCCGGAAGCTTGGTGAGTTCCTAAAATACCACATGCCATACATATAAAACATATAATGGACCCCACCCGTCATCGGGCCTCGCCCGACATCGAGCCCCACTCGGAACAGATATGTCAATAAATAGTGGGCCCCACCTGGTATACATATAAACACATGCAAAAATCACAAAGATAAATAACACACAATATACTTATCATGCCCCACCCGATATACATATAAGATATCATACATGCAAGAGTCACACAGACAACTAGCATCCTAAACATAATAAACCATGGGCTGACATTGGTACCTTCAACCCGCCAAGTATAGTGATGAAACTCACCTCAAACCCTTGAATCTCTCAGATTAATACTTGGACTGTTGATATGGAAAAATCATCACGCTAACACCACCAAATAATATCTAATCAATAATTGGGTTTCGACCCAAAACTGGAATCCTAGTCCAATTGTCCAACATTCAGGGTAAAAGACCATTTTACCCCTCCTAACTTGGCCCAAAATCTGAGGCCCAATCCAATAGCACCAAAAGCCCATTAAGGAACAACTTACTAATTGGGCCTAAAACCCCTCATGGGCCTAATTCTAATAAGGCCAAAAGTGTAGCCATGACCCAAAGTTAGAAGGTTAACGGCCCAAAAGGCCCAACACTCTTCTAGCCCGTAAACGGCCCAAACCGAGAAAGCCAACCAAGGTCAACGGCGGTTGAGTACGCCCGACGTACTCAAGCTTACGCCCAACGTTCTACAAGTAATCATAGTACGCATTGTATACGAGCTGGGTACGCCCAACATACTACCAAGCGAACAAAAGTCAGGGACCGCGCAACGTACACATACGTACGCCCAACAGACGTACCCATTAAGCACTTTTCTATTAAGTGCTTAATGCTTCCAACTAAAAGCTCAAACTTCACATCCAAGTCTTATCAAACGACTTAAGCCATAAAGTCATGAACTTGGAGCCTTTACATGAATCAAAAGGACCAAACCCTCACTTTTAGCATTCTACTTTCACTATAATGACCTAAACTCTTGCATGGTTGATCCACAACCATCAAGATGCTATCTTTATGGACTTAGCACCTCAGAAACATCAAGAGAAGAAACTCCTAACTTCTGGAATGGAAGGAATCCACTAGACCTCATGATATGACCGAAATGGGACCAAAACTTTATAAAGACTAGATCTAAGCAAATAAAGAGCAAGTTCTAATATTTATACCCCAATCAAGCTGGAAATGATGTAAGAAATCTAGATCTACAAGCCCTCCTTTGATCAATGCTCCTTCTTCCAACTTCTTCTTCTTTAAGTCTCACCAACACACACTAAAACACACACAAGAGGAGTCAAATCTCATCAAAAGGGGCTAGGGTCTTGAAATATGACTCAAAGGGCTTTGGAGGCTGAGAAATGAGAGATTCAAGGTTCATAATGTTGTTTAAATAGGGTCTAAACCTTAAAATTTAAGGGTTTTTCCCCTATATGTGTACGCCCTGCATACAAGGAGTACGCCCCGCATACTACAAGTTTGTCGGAAATGGCAAAACTGCCCCCCAGGGACCAAATCTGCAAAGTATTAACATATCAAGGGTCAAAAAATGAATATACCTCGAATCGGGTGTTACAACTCTCCCCCACTTGAATCAGATTTCGTCCTCAAAGTTCATTGCCGCAAATAACTCTGGGTAGTGCTCCCTTATCTCATCCTCAGGCTTCCATGTCCACTCAAACCCCTTCTGGTGATGCTACTGCACCTTCACCAACTCGATAACCTTGTTCCTCAAGGCTTTAGTCTTCCGATCAAGAATCGTCACTGGACTCTCGACCTCATCCACCTAAATATCCTCTAGTGGAACCACTACAAAATCATTAACCAAACATTTCTGCAGCTGAGAGATGTGAAACATGCTATGGATCTGATTAAGCTCCTCGGGAAGATCCAAGTAATAAGCAACCCAGCCCACCTAGGGCAAAAGCCTAAAATGACCGATGTACCTAGAGCCCAACTTGTCCCTCTTCCTGAACTAGATGACACCTTTCCAAGGCGACACCTTTAGGAGAACCATATCCCTAACCTAGAACTTTAGGTCTGATCAACGCTTGTCGTCATAGCTCTTCTGCCGACTCGGTATTATCTAAAGCCTACTCCGAACCTGTTGAATCAACTCAGTAGTCTTGAATACCAATTCGTTACTCCACATGACTTGTTGACCGACCTCACCCCAGTATATCAGGGTTCTGCATTTCCTCCCATACAACATCTCAAAAGGAGGCTGATCGATGTTGGCGTGATAAATATCGTTATACAAAAGCTCCTCCAAAGGGACATACGTATCCTAACTCCTATAAAAATCTAATACACATGCCTAAAGCATATCCTCCAAGGTCTGGATAGTCCACTCACTCTATCCATCAGTCTGTGGGTGGAAAGTTGTGCTGAAGTGCAGACGAGTACCCAACACCTCGTGAAACCTCTTCCGGAACCTGGATGTAAACTGGACATCCCTATCTGAAACATTGCAACCGACACCCCATGACGTGCCACAACCTTCTGAACCATATTCTCTACTAAGCAAAACCTGTGCGAGAATACTCATAACGACTCTAGAATTCATCTCCAAATTATCTGTTGCCCTTCCCGGAGTGCAGATAACAACCCATAAGCACAACTGTTAATCTTTCGGTGTCCGAATCTTGACCTTGGCAACCCATCTATCTCGAAACTCAACATCATCCCACTCGAAGAACCACAGACCACAATTAGACTCCTTCCTAATAACCACCTGTCATGTAAACACTCATTCTCTCATGAGCATATACAACATACTTCATCTCGCTCTGAACGTTGCCTTGAATACCACATGATCCTAGTCTCGCATATTCAGGCCGTCGATCCCCGTAACCCGTCCTCTGACCGCACTAGAGAAGATTGCTAATTCTCTCACTAGAATACCCAGTCCCCCTTACTCATGGCTCAAACCATCACCAATTGGCATACCCACAGTCTACTCCACGGACTGTTTCACCAGGTACATCACACTTACTCTTGGAATGTACCATATAACACTTGACGATCTTCCCGATAGAGACCAAGCAAATCCAATTATTCCAAATCTAAAATGAAATCCTTGGAAACTTTCCAACGTGACTGCCCCTAGTCACCAAAATCCCATACCGATAAACTATCGAACCTCTCAACTATTCCAAAGTAGACGTGACCCTCCGTCTGACAATAACGTACTATCACACACCTCATCTCTGATCCCTCAACCAACATTCCATCGTGTGGATTATCATAGAAGCAAGAGGCCTCACTCTCATAGTCAATGTCCGATGTAAACCACGAGGGCCATCGCCCCGATATATTTCTCTTCATAACCTGGAACTGCTATTGATTACACCTTACTATACTCA